GCAGCTGAGTTCCGTGGCGGGCAGCACTCGCAGCCTGCCGTGGTTTCGCTGCTCCCCGCAGCCCCGCTTGCTGCCTTTCTGCCTGAGCTCCCTTTGTGCTTCAGCATAACCCGAACGCGGGGTGAGAGCGGCTGAATTGGCAGCCCCCGAGCGCTGCCCCAGCTGCTGCTGGTGGTGTTTGCGGAGCGCTGACAATGGGCGGATCACTGCCCGGGTAATGGGAGCAGCCCTGCCTCGGTGAGTCCATCGCGGGAGGGAGGAGGACACGGCAACGCTGGGCTTCTTCCAGCCCTGGGAAACCACAGCAGCTGAAAGCCTCTGCTCTAATTAACGCGGCTGCTTGATGACTCAGCAGCATCAGGAAGCGCTCCAGCCGTGGCTGCACCACCGTGTAAAGCCGATAGTAAAGCCTGAGCAGGGTGCTTGCTGTGGGAGAAACTCATTCCTTCCCCATAGGCCCTCCGGCTCAGCCTGTTGCGGTTCACATCAGACACAGCTCCCTTCACACTAAAAGCTCTCAGCATCGTCTCAACCCAGCTCTCAGGCAGGGTCCAGCATGAGACAGAACAAGCAGCGCCAGCGTTCCCTCTCAATGAGGCAACCCAGGAGCGCCTCTGGATTTCCTCTGCAAACACTGCCTGTTTCCAGGAACCCGTGTTCCGCTGGACTGTTTGCTCCTCGTCAACACAGAGGAAATGTGTCCGGGTGCTTCAACACCTCCAGAGCAAACAGTGTGGAGTTATTAAAGCAAAAAAAGCAAACATCTTCCACTGAAATGCGGGGTTAAAGCGAGGGGAGGAAGGGACAGGCCTGTATCCTGCAGGAAGGTGTGGAGCTCAGGAGCACCCTGACAGAGCCGAGCACGCAGCTACACCATGCTCACCAGGTTCATGTCCCTGCCCAGGGTGTCACATCCCATGGGCACTGCCACCGCAGTGCTGGAGCTGCCACTACAGGTCAGGCCTTTAATCCGTATTCCTTTCTTTCCCTGATTTTACTTAGCAGAAATTGAATCTGTTCCAGTTTCTTCCGATTCCATAAAGGGATATCAGTTGCAGTGTAAGTCCAATTTATTCCTTTCCGTGTATTCATTAAATCCCAGTTAGTTCCCGCACTATTTAATGGAATTGATGGTGTAATTAAGCTACAGGCAGACATTAACAACCAGAACCATCAGGGAGACTTAGGATCCTTTACTGCTCTGTTCCCAGTGTTATACAGCCTCTAATTTCACAACAATTACTGGAACCAGTTGGTTCAAAGCACACACTTGGCGCATACAGAACACCCAGCACCAGCTCCCGAAGGCCCTGGGTCCAACTTCAGCTTCACTGCACATCCCCCCCACACAGTGCATCCCAAGGATGCTCTGTTCAACAACCGCATCTGCTTGGGATCCCCCACTCCTTATACCCTGGTAGAGGGAAGTGTAAACCAGAGACAGCAGCCGGAGCACCCACACCTCACCATCCCTGCTGACGGAGACATCCAGCCCTGAGCAGACGCTGGAGCAGGGCAACACCCATGCTTCACATGCAGCTCCTTCCTGCTCCCAGAGCTGCAGCATGCTGCCCGACACCGGGCTTCCCAGAGGCTTTGCAGACCAGAGGTGAAGCTGTAATAATAACTGCTATTGCGTTCAGAGATTGCTTCCCAGCGCCTTATCTGCCCAGAGATACGAGCAGGATCTGATCATGCTGCAATTACCAGACCTAGATTTGCACTAATTGGCTCTCTGGAGTAACCTTACCTCCAATTTGTATATTATGGGTACTCAGCAGGCAGTGATTTACAGCCCCACAGGTTAGGGGGATGCTGTAATCCCTTTCAGGGCTCCTTTCCTCACCGCTGCCAGAGGGAGGGCCAGCAGTTAGGTGGGTCCTAGGGGCACATCCTCATCACCCAGCCTGTTTGTTAATGACCTGGACTTTGGGGAGGTTTGGGCTGCATAATGGGATAATAGACGGAGCTGATGGCTTTGAAGAGGGTGTTGAATCCACCGCTCTGCTTCCCACCTCTGCCATCCTTCCCCATTGCCCAGCTCTGCCAAGAACACTGCTTGGGAGCTGCCAAGGGGCTGGCTGTGCCATGGCAGTGCAAAGAGGCACCCGTCTGCAGGAGACCCAAACCAAAATGCACTCTTTGAACATGAGAAATGACTCTACTGCTGCTACTACAGGAAACAAAGCGGCTTTAGCTGAGGAAATACGCCTGGGGGAAAAATCGGTCTGGGCTGACTGTTAGGGATGACACAGGTAGAGAGGGGAATGTCTCTTTTGAAGGCTGCTCCCCGTGTGCTCTGTCCTGCCTACATCCTCATTCATGGTTTAGAGGGATTACGGGGGAGTGCCAGGGGAATCCCATCTCCGTTAAACCCAAGTCATTTGTCACTCTGCAGGAGTGGTGAGGAGGACAATTAGTGTGAACGGGGAGGCAATGGTTATGATGTAGAGCCTTGGCCATCAGTCATCATCAATGTGGTGGCTTGCCTGTCCCTGAAGAGTAACAGAGTTTGGTGGGGTCACGGAAAGGCCTCTCCATCCTTCTCCAAAACCTTAGCATTCATCAGAGCCATCACAGAAATAGACCAGTGAAGTGGTTCTCAGGCCATCACTTGCAGTAGGCACTCCTCAGCAGCAGAAGTGGTTTGCAGAGAGCATGAACCTGGATTTCCGGGACAACAAGCACAGCAGTCAGGGGAGGGGCAGGGGGAGGCCCCACCTTCAGCATTTGCAGGGGGTTTGACGCACCACTGTCCAACGGAGCAGGGAATGATGATGCAGATGTGCTGCTCCTCGCGTTCCACAAAGATCCAGCTTTCTCACTTCAGCCATTCCTGTATTGCAAAGGACAGCGGAGCTTCCCTTGTTCGGCAGACACAGGCGTCCTGCTCAGCTTGAATTTCCCAGCGAGGCCAAGACCAGGCTTCCAGGGACGTGTCCCATTTTCTGCTCCAGCAGAGCTCGGAGCCAGTGGCGCTCCGGGAAGGGATGCACTGTACGGGTCTGTGCCCACAGCATCTCGTCCATCAGCCTTGCTCCGGGCTCCTGCTTGTTTGTGTGGTACCTGTGGGTGGATGTGGGAGTCTTTGATCATCTGGGATTACTGCGGCATTAGGAGCTTTCAAACAGGAGCAGATGCTCTGGGTACAAAAGTGGGTCATGTACGGTGCTGTGCTAGGATGCTTTGATGTGCAGCGGAAGGGGGGAGGCCGGGGCAGGGTATGGAGGAGCTGGAGTGTGCTTTGCACGGTGCAGACTCCAGTGAGCCCCCGACTGCCTGCCCTGGCTCTGCTCCGTTCGGTTACTGGGAGTTTGCCTTGTGCTTGCAGGGCTGCAGGGGACAAAAGGCTTCCTACGGCAATGGAACAGCGCTTGTCCGCAGAGATGAGGTGGGAATCTCGCCCGGCCACATCCCCAGCACGTATTCCTTCAGATGTCTTCTGCTGCTAATGAAATAATGTAGGAGACATCATTCTCCGTCGCTTCCAGTTACAGTCCCCCTGTGCAGGAGCCTGCCAGCGTTCCCCTTCCTCCAGAGCTAACAAACCTCTGCTAAGAAGAAAGGCCATTAATAATAATTACAAAGAAGAAAACCCCTCTCTTCTCTCTCTCTCTTTTTAATGAGCCCTAAAAAAGTAGGTTTCTTAATTGAAAAGCTTTCTATTTTGGAGACAGCACCAACACTTCAGAGAGGGGCAGGCAGCTCCGGCAAGCAAAGGCGAAATGAGGGGATGCATCAGGCAGCTCCTTACAGGAGTCTGAGAGATGGACCTCAAACTCAGGGGTCACCCAGACTCCAACACCAGAATCCAAGGAACTATCAACAAGGCACTAATTAGATTGAAAGGAGACTGCAGATGGAAACAAAGCAGGAAATCGGCTTTGGAACAAACATCATTAGAAACAGAAGTTTGGGAAGGAAGAGGATGTCCTGAGCCTGGGAGCTGAGCAAAGTGTGACACACACCACCCCCACCACCCCCCCCCCCCCAGTACCACCCATGACAAGGGGTCATCGGGCCGGGGCTCCTTCTCCAGGCTGCTTCCCATTCCCAGTCCACAGCTACTAAACTGAAGGTTTATCAGCCCCAGCTGCTGGAGCACCCTCCTCTGATAAACTGCTCATTGAGATGAGCCAGGGATGCAGAGCTCACTTCTCCACCCCACACACACCCCACACACACACACACCCCATGCAGGTTGTCCTCCCTTCCTGCAGCATTCCCGCCTGGCAGCAGCCCAGCCCCGGGCACAGAACACTTCCACCGAGGCTTGATCGATCACCTCCCGCATTTGGCTACTCACTGGCTGGATTAATGACATGTGGGATCCAGGATGTGGCTCTTCCTAATGGCATCGACGTGGCCTCTGTCCCCGTGGGAAAGCGAGACCCAGGGCTGCAGCCCTGTGTGCCCAGAGCAGCAGCACACACAGCATCACCCTGCTCCCTGCGCACCAGGAGCTGGGAACAGCCAGAAACACTCAGAACACTTGCAGAAAGCCCAGGGTTTTGAGCCGAAGCTGGCTCAGCACCCCAAGGATTCGACCTTCCTCTCCCACCCGTTTCCACATCTCCAGTTTAAACTACTTTGTGCCCCTGTTGGATGCAGGATACATCCACGTCCTGCAGAGACTCACAGGCCCAGTGCAGAGATTCCTAACCTTGACCTTTTTATGAGTCTCAGGATGGCTTTCAGCAACAGGCTGGAGGATGCTCATCCATTTCTCCCACTTGTATATTGCACCATTATGCCATAACACATATATAATCACCAGAAGCCCAAAGCAGCAAATGCTGTCATCATCAGACAGCCCAGCTTGGCTGATGCATCCTTAAAGCAGCTCTGCAAATCAGACCTGAATATCGTTAGGATAAAGGGTGTAGGGAAGGAAATGGCCACAACAGCCTGGTGCAAAGTTAGCCTGGGCTCTGCCTCCCAAATTGGTTCAGAGAAATTAACAGGAAGGAAGGAAGGATCAGACACAATGATCAACCTGCTTACCTGCTCATTAGTTTAATCTCGTCTTTTTTCTTCCCCTCTTCCAGCCCTGTGGTTTCTCTGAGCGCGGAGTAACAAGAGAACAGCAGAGTCCTAGATGAAAGGGAGGCTGGGTCTGGAAGCACAAAGATTAAAGCAGAGTTTTTAGGACTGGTCTTTGATTATTGTGTTTTTACCTTGGCTCCGTGGTGATTATTCCCGTTCTTCTCCCAACATCCCTTCCGGGTGCATCCGAGGGAGCGCGCAGCCTCTTGAGCAAGGTCCAAGGACAAACAGTGAGCGGGTTGGATACAGAATAGGCTCCAGGAGCAAAGGGGGTCCCAGACAACAGCCCCCCCCCCCATCTAGGTTTATGAAGGTGGGACCCTGCTGGGGCTGGTGGGAAAGCCTGGTCCAAGCACCTCCATACCAGGAGGGCTCCTCCTGCTGCTCCTGAAGCAGAATGCGGGCACAGGGCTGGTGATGGGGACTGCTCCCAGCTGTCCTCCATACGCATAACCTCAGGCAGGAAGGTGTGAGAAGAACAGATCCGAGCTCTGCTCATCTGGAGAGAGCAGAAAGAGGCTGCTTTAGCAAAATTCCCACAAGGGATGCACACCATAGCCATGCATGTATGAAGGAATTATATTTGGAACAGCTTTTTCTTGTTAAATCGGGCTTTTCAGTCCTGCCTGGAGACCAGGCTGAGCACAAACATGGGGGCTCAGGTTGTGGCGGTGAAGAATGGGAGTGAGCTGTGAGGCAGAAGCAGCTGCAGCCCCAGCAGGGAACGGGGCAGGACGGGGAGGAGAGGCTCCTACCCCAGCCTGTGCTGGGCAAAGCCAAGCACCAGCAATTAATTAGCTTCTGCTTAGCCAACACCCTTGGAGCGTTTCCAAAGCCAGCGACAGAACAAACAACGCGGCAAACCCAGCGAATGTCTTTCCTAAACCAACAAACTATTGCCTCGCAAAGTGGAACACCCCGAGGGCATCCAGGAGCAGCTCCTGCTCCGGGCCGGGCCGGCGCCGCAGCATCCTGCATCCTCCTGCGGGGTGCGCGGCGGCAGTGGATCGATGGAGCAGAGAGCAGGAGGCTGCGCCGGGCTCGGAACATGATTTATGATCTCGCAGACATCCGGAGATCCGCGCCTGGGCTCTGGTGTCAGCTCTCGGTGAGCAGGGCCCAATTAGGTGACCCCCCACGTCTGCGATCGATCAGGAGGGAGGGTTTGCTGCTCACACAGTGCCTCCAGCAACAGCATTGCCGCTGGTCTGGGGTGAGCACCGTGTAGAGCTGTCTTTGGGGGTACAGGGGGGCTGTGAGGTGGATGCGCTGCACGCACCAGCAGGGACCAGGGCAACCCTACCTGGGGCGGTGGGTACCAATCCCCCTCCAGCCTCATGGAGCTGCTTTCTCTGCCTCTTGCCATGTCCCCTGCTGCTGCAGGCCAGTGGTGTCAGCCCCTCCTTCCTTCCGTGAGAAGTCCTGCACCATGAGGCTGGGAGAAAAAGGTTCATTTCTGAAGCCAGTCTTCCTCCCCCTCACTCGTTACAGAAAGGAGGGGGAAGAGCCCGGGAAGACAGAGTTATTACATTAATCAGCACAGAATTCTAACTACTGCCCTTTATGCTTTACATAATAATATAAAGCTTTATTCAAAGACAACAGCCTTCTACATCAAAGATCCCCCTCTCCCAGTCTGAACTTTGGAGCCCTTCTCCTTGCAATTAATGTAGAGAGATCTAAACAAAGTTAGGGAGCAGCTTGCAGACATCCTCTGAAGCAGGGCTGGCTCTGCTCGGGGAGCAGGATCCACCACCACAGCTCTGCTCCCTGCTGCCGTTTGGCTGTGCAGGCACAAATAGTAAGGGAAATGGCCGGGGTTAGGGTGCTCTGTGCCCCACCACCTCGGAGGAGGAGAAAGTTCGTTTTCATTCTATAATCCCGGCTTTGCATCGCGCACTGCACAAATACACGAGGACATCGCTGGCGCCCTTCGCGCAAACCCAGCCTGCACAAGCATTGGAAGCTTACTGCAGGCTAGTGCCCGAGGACATATGATGAAGGTCAGCCACCCCATGTTGAGTAATGTAGCTCCAAAGCTTTGCTATGGAATTGCTCATCTCCCTTTGGAGGGGCATGTGCACAACTCGTGCCTGCTGTGGAGGGCTGCGAGTGTGAAGGCAGCAGCAGGCAGAGCCGCCCTGCATCCAGCACACAACAGACCAGGACATCTCCACCCGAGATGAAGGCTCCTGCTCCTTCCCCTTCATCCTCCCCCAGGCTGAGCTCTGCCACGGCTATTCCAGGATCTCTGCAAAATGCTAATTGCTGTGCTTGGCCTCCCCCGGAGAGCAAGGGGAACCCTCCCCTAATTAGCGCCGCAGTCTGTGGCTCAGGGAAGCCAAATGATGACTGGAGCGCGGCTGCTCTCCCTGCAAAGAAATTCCAACATATGCTGTGGAAAAACGCCGCCCAAGTCAGGCTTCAGAAGCACGGGGTGTTTAAATAACCACGGATCCCCACTGCTGTTTATTACAGAACAGAAGAGTAATAAAAGGCAAAGCTGCGGCTGCGAAACCTGCTCCCTGCCAGGGCGGGCGGTGGAGGAGCGGGAGGATGGGAGAATTCCATAGGTGTGCTCCTATGCATCCCTGCAGCTGCTGCCGCCCTCATTTTGCAACAGAAAAGAGGCCAAGGGGTTGGAATTACCCGCCCATGCCCACGCTGTAAGACGCAAGGGGAAGTTCTCATCCTGTTTTGCATCCCTAGTGCGGGGCTGAGGTGGCCCTAACGGGACCCTATGGGGAGGCTGCACTGAGGACTTGCACACGTTCTGCAGCCCTCCTGCGTTTCCGCTGGTCACTTGTGGTAGTCCAAAGCATATAAAATATTTAGTGGCTCCTAATTAGAAGTAATTACCACTTAACCTGGAGCACAGACGTGCCCTGTGCATCTACTTCTGAACAGCTTGCACCGCAGCTCATTAAAGGGAAGGGCTCAGGGAAACAGACAAGTGCTTGTTTTAGCGAGGACCCCCCCGGCTACCCGAGTGCCAACACTCGCATCCGAGGTCCACAGGCTCCACTCAAAGGCGCCCGCGAGCAAAGCCTCGCCTCACCTCACCTCTATTTCAGTGTGATTGCTCCCTCTGTGCCCCTGAGGTTCTGCTCCGGCTCACCATGTCCTTCCCCGAGCAGCAAGGGGGAAAGCAAATGGTTAACGAGATGCCCAATTCCAATTCGTTTCTCTTCTATCAGAGCTATGTAGGAGAAAACAAATGAGGCTCCTTTCCATGGGTGCCGCTTTCCTGCTCAGAAAGCCTTAGGAGTGAAAAAATCCTGCAGTGCCTCCTCTGCTTTGGTCTGTGCATCTCTCTGAAGGTCTCCGCTAATAAAACCAACTTAACAGCCTTTCTGCCTGGCTCCCGAGGGAAAACCCTGACCTCTTACTCAATCCACAGCCTCCGATGCAGCCCGAATGAGCAAACACGCCTTGAAGGGTGACCCGCGGGTCAGCAGCCCCTGACTTTTGATCCGTGAACTCTGCCGATGGAGGATTCACTCGCAAACCTGAGCGGGGAGGGAAACAATTCCCCTCTGTGCCGAGAACTGCGGAGATTAAAAATAATCAGGTCCATCTCAAACTGACCCAAAAGTTTGAGATCCAGAAAATGGCAGCAAATGAGGCAGCAAAGCAGAGTCAGCAAACACAGCCCAAGAGCACCAGCTGAAGCATTTCATCTCCACAAGTGAAGAAATGCTTTGTAGCTGCTTTTCGAGTCTTTCACTTCTTTGCAATAAATGAGCTTCCTTCCCTTTATCCACGTTTCCAGAATTGAAAAGTACAGGTTTTACCTGGTGGTTTAACTCCTCAGACTTTCAGACATCATTTGGCTTGGTCCCTTCATAACAGGTCAGGGCAGTTGGGGTGGACCCGCGTTCTCAAAAGGAAAATGAAACTGAAGGATGCTGAAATGGCTTTTTCCTCCAAGGCTGCTGCTCTGTCCTGCACAGATCTAATGGGCACCATTTGTCCCATCCATGCTGAGCTTTGGCCAAGCCCCAGCCTCAAAGAGATGTGAGCAATCCCCTCCACTGCTCCCTTTTCTATCCCATTCAAGAACAGCATCGGGCACCTGACTGAGCTTCAAGGACTTAAACACGTTTGGGCAGAGCTGACTCTTTCGGACTGGTCTCTGTGCACATGTGCTCCTTGTGCTCACTGCAGCCCCAATGAGTCCAGCTCCACAGGCCCCAGGAGCAGCTCCCACAGGGCCAGTCAATGCTCCTGCTGCCATCTGGCTGTGGAACCTCACACCCAGGTCAGCCATGCCCTGGAGCCCCCCGGCAGCCCCAGCACTCCCAGCTCAGCCCTATGGGACAACCCCTCACATCCACTCACTGCAGGAGCAGCTGCTGCTGACGCACCAAGGTTTGCAAGCCATGCTGGACCCGGTAAACATCTGCTCTTGCCCGCTGCCAGCCATCAATCACAGCTGACAGCCGTCCCCCCACGGACACCACCGTGCTTTTCACCTTAATTTCTTAGAAGGGCTTTTTCACCAGTTGGAAACCCATAAATATCACTCTGCGAGCCCAGGTAGGGCTAATGATAGATGGCTGCTTCACAGACATGCCAGAGGCTTTGACCCAATTGTCACCAAAATACTTCCTGATTAACTCATAGATAAAATCCAATTAAAACTTCTGCTCTTCCCACAGTCCCTGCTGAGAACTTTTTCTCCCCATCTCAAACTCTCTTAAATTAGATCCAGGCTAGCCGGACCCGCTCTGGATAGAGGAGGATGCTCTGCCCACCATCCTCATGTAGCCTTGCCGCTCCCTTTTCTTCCTCCGCTGAATAGATCCGCTGCACAGAAAAGCCTCTTTAGCACATTTGCTTTGATGTGCAATAAGTTAATTACTGTAATAGGTTCATCTTTCTCCCCCAGTATTGAATCATGTAGAACATCTGTATAAATTGTCACGGAGTTCCTCATTTTGACTCATTTTATTCTTTAAGCAGCCCTAGCAAGTGTATTTCTGCAGAAAGGCTTTTCCTCAATCCCATTTACCAGGTGAATCCATTATTTTCTGCTCTCCCGATATCCATCTTGGTCCACCTCCCGGAAGGATGGGGCTCGCTGATGCCCTGGTTTTGCAGCCGCTCAGAGGAGGAGTGATGCTGGGAGCACAGAACTCTGCATCCAACCCTGTTCCCAGCCTGGGGAACCCTTTGCCACCAGGAAAAGAAAGGAAACCCAGTGCCTGACCTCACATGAGCATCACAAACCCCTCTGCCCAGGGACAGCATAAGAGAGGCAAAAGGAAAACACAGGAAGCATCTTGCTGTGGTCCATGAGGGCTTCGGCTTGGGCTCTGCAGCACTTTCTCAAAGGGCCCGCAGCAGCTGAGCTGCACAGTGAGATGGAGGGAAGCTCCAGTCTATTCCACCTCAGCCTCCACCGTCTCCCAGACCTGCGCTGGGCTTGGCTCTTACCTGGAGCATTAGTGTGAGGAGGGCTTGGGAAGCCCCAGTGCTTGGCAAGGTGACACACGCGCACAGGGAAGCTCAGTACCAGGGATTCACCTCCATTTTTCCTGCTGTTTTTTCCCTCTATTTTTCTCTTCCCTGTTTTTCTTAAAATAACCTCCAGGTAATGCATTCAGCCCCGCCGGGCTGCTTTATATCACTCACAGCATTTGCCAGTTGACTCTTTCCCGCTGAGATCAAGTCTCTTATCAGGGATTAAGGCTGTAGTTCAGGAGCGCAGCTATGAAGTGTGCCATCAGAGCAGGCAGTGGGATGAGCCAGCACGGCTCACCAGTGCTGCGGGACCCAGAGCGGCCCAGCAGGAGCAGGGATGTCGCAGCGTGTGCTGGTGGGTCTCTAACACAGCCCCCTGTGAGCAGGGGGAACCAAGCTGAGCAAGGCTGGAGAGGCAAAGCAGAGCTGAGTGCATCTCTGAGGATACAGGAGAAAAGATTTGTTGGGTGCACTGTGACCAAAAGGAAACATCCTGGGGATACAGGTCCAGCTTTCAGGCTGGAAGATGTTTACTCCACGTTTAACATAGGAAAAGTCTAGTGACTGCCCCTGATTGAGCCACATCTGCCTGCAGAGATGGAGGAACAAGGCTGAGCTCCAGCCTCAGGCAGGTGTTATTTCCAATGGAAATAATGGAAACAAGAAGGCTGAAAACAGCAAGATGAGTCAGTCCGTGCTGCAGAGAAGAGGAGGAAGAGCTTTCCTTGGGGGGATATTTGCACCCAGACAGTAGGTCTGGTTCAGCTGGAGCAGACCTGCATCCCAGTGCCCAGAGAGCTCCCATTGCCACTGCCCCACAGCCATCAAGGCGCACACCACCTCCTGGGGTGCCCCCAGCACCACTGCAGGCAAGGAGCAGGAAGCCCTCCAGCCCATTGCGAAGGCAGGACACCAACCTATCGCATATCCCCCATTTCCTGCTCTAGATCCAGCTCCACAAGCAGGATCAGCTTGAGCTCACCGCGGCTGCAGTGACCTCTCAGAGCTGCTCGGATGGAAGCGGGAGGAGCTGGTGCGGAGCAGGTCTGCAGCTTGCAGGGGGTAAAGAGCCATCAGCACTGGCCCCGCTGATCTTCCCGCAGGGATGCGGTGGGCTGCAGCCTTGCCCTTGGGCTGCTCCATCATGAGATGAGCACCAGCTCCCCAGCAGAGCCCCTCACCACTGAGGAGCCGGTTTAGCTCGCCAGCAGCTCACCGCTGCCCGAGCCCGGCGCGGCAGAAGGGGCCATCAAGGCTGTTTGCTGCTTTACACAGGCTATCATGTGCTGTGCCGCAGCGGGGGACTGCAAATGACTTTATAGTTATTGTTCCTCAAATTGGACACCCCCTTGGAGCTTAGATAATATGAGATGAAACAGCCTGCGGGAGGCTGCAGTCAAGTGGAACAGTGATGGAGGCTTTTTTTCCCCCTTTCCAAGAAGAAACACTCCACCTATTTACTTCTCCCCCGGCCCTCCTCCTCCTCCTCCCTGTCAGGAGGCTGAGCCCTGGCAGTGACAAGGGTGAGCTGGGGTGTAATCGCTGAGCAAACTGAGCTGCCTGAACCCTGTGCGGGTGAATGGATTCTGCACGCCAGGATTTGGACATACAGCTTTGACAGCGAGCCCGGAGGAGGAATGGGAAGGGACAGAGGACGCTGCGGCTCCTTACTCCTCTTCCTACCCACGCGGGGCTTGAAGGGAACATTATTACTGGCAAAGCAGAAATCTCACCTCCTGTCATTTGGCTCCGCAGAGCCAGCGTAACCGCATTGAAGCGGAGATGCTGCTGGAGGGAGTGGGAGTGGAGAGGAGGCTTTGAGGTGAGGGAGCGCAGGAAGAACCAGAGCTAATGAGGGACCGGGGGAAGGAGGATGCCAGGGCTCACGGCGCAGCTCGTTATGGAGGAAGGGGGAAGCAGAGGCCTGGAAAAGAAAGGGAAGAGCATCCGAAGTGCAGCGGCCTCGGGGTGAGGGGAGCAGCTGACCCTGGGGAGGAAGGACCTGGCTGGAAACGAGAGCCTGGAAAGCAGAGCTGGGAGCGCTCCGGCGCAGCGTTCTGTTTGCCTTTCCCCACAGCAGATCTGGTGATTTAAATTAGGTCTCGATTCTTGTTTAAATTATAGTTTACTGTTCTGCGCCCCGCTCAGAAGTGAATTACCTTAAGCAGCAGTATTAATAACACGGTTATAATTAAGCTTCATTACTGTAGGCAGTTTGCTGAAACAAATTGCTTCTTCATTATTATTATGGCACCTTTGGTAAAAAGACATTTCCCCAGAATGCGACCTTGATGCTTTATATAGCAGAAGCTGGGAGATGATAGAGATGTAAGGATGAATTAGCATCTTTTACCTTCTATATCAAGCTCATTAAAAGGAAAGCGACTCAAGTCAAAACCAAGCAGCCTTGATGGAAATTTTAACCTAAGCGAAATGGATAATGAATAGGTTTGAACTTTTCCTGACATCTTTATAGCGGCGCTTTATTTGTATTACGCTTCTGCTAAAACATCAATAAATAAAGCAGGGCAGGGAGGGGTATGGACAGCAGATGGGGCACTGACCTGCCAGCACAGGCACCCCCTGTGCCACCAGCTTCCCATCCAGCACAATGCAATTGCATCCCTTCAGCAAAGGAGCACTATGCTGATTAGTGAAGCGTCCTAATCCTGCAGGAAGTGGTGCCATTCATGGCCACAATGTGAGGTTTCTTGAGCTCCCCTTGTCCATCCACATCCAACCTGAACCACAACGCA